AGAAGGCTGATTTGTCGATTACTTGAAGGAGAGGACGGATCCTTACCAGGTTTCCGGATGGCTTCCAACACGAGGGGAAGTAGCCAAGTCGGAGGCACAGGTTAAAAATCAGTGCCAGATGGTTGTAGAATGTGGAACTCAAGTGTTTGAGTTCCAGATTCAGGATGTTGTCGAAACCTGGGGCCTTCATGTTTTTAGATGATTGTCAGTTCGTCAGCCGTAATCTCGGATTCCTCGGGAAAAATATTAGGAATCTGATGGAGGTTGGTTGCGTTTTCAGCAACATCAGCTTCGTGAAGGCTGACGATGTTTTGTCCGAGATTATGGGAGCTGACGAAGTGTTGACCTATCGCGGCAGCCTTCTCTTCAGGAGTTAAAAGATGAACCACTGGGTCGCCGGGACTATCCAGTGGGGTCAGTGGTGGAATGGGTCTTGGTTTTTTTCCTTGGTTTGTTTTTCGTCGATCTTGTTTTCCAGGGAAGCAGCTCCCACACCTGGACCCTACCTATCGTCTCCGGAAGGACACCGTAGTCGACAGTAGAGTCGACACAGTGTTGGAACTGATCCCAGCTGACGCGATGGTAGTTGCGTCGGGAAGCTTGGAATCGGTTGACGGATGAGCCCACATCGGCCATCACCGGATAGTGGTCCGAACTCAGCTCCTGGTGGGTCACAGGTTGCGAGATGTTGTCCCGCATGTTGCTGACGAAGATGTCGATGGTGAAGTGTACGCCAGACCGGCTCAAGCGGGTAGGAGAGTCCGGCTCTATTATGGTGTAGTGAGCCTCTTGCAGGTTATCGTTCAGGATTGTGCCGTTTTGGTTGCGTCGACTGTTGCCCCAAGCCTGGTGTTTGGTGTTCAGATCGACAGCGATGATGTGCTTCTCACGGCGTCGAGTTAGTCTGATGATGTCTCTCCGCAGGTCTGCTGCCGACCCGTCCCTGATGGTGACTTGTTTGGGACAGTAGGCCGCAATGATGGTAATAGGGCCGACAGGAGTGGAGACTTCCACACTAGAGGTGGGCAAAATAGCTCATCTGGCTGAGTGGATAAAACCCATCCAGCTCACTAAAGAGAGTCGATTCTTTTGAACAGCTCTTCAGCTCACATTGAAATTATAGAAATTATGACACAAATTCAAAATCGGAAAATTAATTAATGGTTTTATTGCTCAAAACTGCATAAAATCGTAAAAGTTGCCTAAATCAATAAATCCGTACCTTACAACATGGCTTTACTTTTCAATGGAAAACGCTACTAACGCAACAATTGATCAACCATCGCGTAATCCAAAATGCGCGCAAAATGTGCCACTCGTTCTCCGCAGGAGCTGGTCCGGTCTAGCCTTACGAGCCGAAAATCAGGGAGGTGAACATTTATCTCCGGCTTCAGGTGTGTTTCGGTGATGACGGCGATGTCAATGCGAGGGGGGCGACTCTATCTACGATGCAGGAAAAATTGTGCTTTGCTGTCGTTAGCTGCACGCACGCTGAGTAGATAGAAAAAAGATTGATGACGATTCTGAAGATTTCCTGCAAAAAGATGATGCGCGATGCAAGTAGATGCGAGAAATGAAAGAAGATTTTTCGAAGATTGATTCGCTAGTGTGAGATTTGTTGAGCATCTAGACTTGAGATTTAAATTCATTGAGGAAATCAACGAACTCAATGAATTTGCTCTTGAGCGAGCAAGCGTTCCAGTTGACTATTTTGATGGCTTCATGGTCCATACTTTTGCACGAGGGTCATAACTGCACGAAGCTGTTCAGGTAGTGTCTTGGTGGTGATTATGATATGAAGATTATGATCATCTCAGTCAAGAGGATCACTAGTTCGTCGCTTGTGAGTGGAGAATTGTCTTCTGACCCACCTGACACAGCACAGGCGTACGATAATCCCGGGGCAGTAGAGCCATGGCGGTGGCTGGGACCCGCTTGATCTGATGTTGGATTCGCAACGGGGGGCACTGGATTAGTGGAAGCGGTGCAAGGTTCGGGACCATACGACAAGCCTGAAGTACTGGAAACGTGTTCATGTTGACAATAGGAGCACGATTATTGCGGTGTCGACCAGGTTGGTTCCTCGGGGAAGCCTGGTTGTCGGATCTGGATGAAGGCCGCTCGCTTGTAACATCTCCAATCGCTGCACAGATGGTTGGAATCACAGTTCACGCACTTAGGTTCAGCTTCTTCTTCCTTCTTGCAGGCGGTAGTAATGTGAGCCCCAGCACATTTGCCACAACGAGCCTTCATGTGACAATTCTTCGTACCGTGCCCAAATTCCAGACAATTAGTGCACTGTGTCACGTCAGTGGTGGAATCCTTATCGAAGTACAACCAACAATCAATACGAAACTAACGATTTTAAATTGGCTCACCACTTTAGTAGCCTATTGATCCCAAGCAAACGATTAACGTACCCTATTCTAGTTGAAATTCTATTACTACACTATGTTTATTTTGATTCGCTATGAAAGTTTGACAGATAACATCAGGGGTGTGTGGATTCATGCAGAACATGCAGGGTGAGTGAAATAGCTTGGGACTGCTTGGGACCGTTGTTCTGGTACTGAGTGAGCCAAAAATAATAATGATTTTCTTCGGGACCCAGTGGTCTTAGAGTTACCTCTATGGTACAACTGGTCCCGGAATGCACTGGTTTCATCACGTCTCGCAATCGAAAAAATGTTGAATGGTTGCAGATGAAGGTGCTCCAATTCCGCTTTAATTTCCGCAACAGGGAGATTTGGAAAATCACGGATCACCATTTTCAGTGGTTTGCTTCCAGGGACGTCGTGAGTGTAGAACTCAAACCGGTTCAGCTGAAGAAAAGTGTCAACAGTGTTGTAATCCGCCAGCGTCGAGCACAAGATTTTGATCCCCGTGCTGCACAGCGGATGGATTTGATTTTTAGCCAGCTTATTCCTGAGCAACGTGAGTTCCTTCGTCGAGGTGAACAATGGGGGCACTTTTTCCCGTTTCTCAACTAGATCTATATCTGCTTCTTCAGGGAGTGCCGAGAACGGATTACTCTGAAGCAACCTTTCCGTGTGGTTGCTGGTATCAGCTTTCTTGCGAGGCTTTTTCGGGGCATCTTGAATGGATGCGGTTGCATCCAAACTTTGGCGATGGGTCGACCCATCACCATTTGTTTCTTCATCGGATGAATGGAGGCATTCAATTGTTGCTCCACTACCACCGATTTAGCGACTGCCACAAGAGAGACGAGAACTGACGACACGTTGCTAGCCAAAGCGAAAACTCGCGACGGATACCACGACCAAAACACCGAACGACTCGAGAGAGCGAGCGAAAAGAAAATCGGACTGTACAGTTTGATGGTCAAGCAGAGAATGCCATGAGTTTCAACTAGACAGCAGCCCTCTTTTATATATTTTCAGGTTAAAGCAGAATGATGTGCAACCAAGTGGTACTCGATTATGACGACTGGGTTTGGGAAGAACGTTTATTTCATGAAAACAGTGATAAAATTATCACTTTTTATTTGTACACAGGACAATGCTTGACATTACCACGTTTCAATAGTTTCTTGTTGAAAATCAGTCGGAAGCATTGCTATTGATGCGTAGAAATATTTCTGATCGATTGGTGATAAAATAATTGAAATTGTTCCAGGGACAGCTGAGTTATTAACGTTCAAAATCTTTCATAATTTTGTTACCTGTTCCATTTTCGGTTTTCACAAAGTGTACCCCATATAGAAATCACAGAAGTAGTCCTACCATAGAGGTAACTCTAAGACCACTGGGTCCCGAAGAAAATCATTATTATTTTTGGCTCACTCAGTACCAGAACAACGGTCCCAAGCAGTCCCAAGCTATTTCACTCACCCCTGCATGTTCTGCATGAATCCACACACCCCTGATGTTATCTGTCAAACTTTCATAGCGAATCAAAACAAACATAGTGTAGTAAAAGAATTTCAACGAGAATAGGGTACGTTAATCGTTTGCTGGGGACCAATAGGCTACTAAAGTGGTGAGCCAATTTAAAATCGTTAGTTTCGTATTGATTGTTGGTCCTACGTAAAAAAGGTGGAATGAAAAAATATTCCGAAATCAAAACAAACGCAATATACAATTTGACCCCATCCCCCCTTCCCCCCCCCCCCCCTTAATGTACAAATATTTTTTGTTTTGGGCCGCCCTAGTGCATATGCGCTTAAATTTAGAAGGCTAAACGTTCTAGAAGTGCTTCAAATTTTATAGAAATTCAGCTAACTCTGTGAAAGCTCAGAAAACTTTGTAGCTTCAACTGTACTTCATAGAATTTCAGATAATTTTGTAGAACCTCAGCAAGTTTCGTAAAAGTTCAGAGAGCTTTGTAGACCTTCTTCAAACAATGTTGAATATAAGAAAACTTTAGAGAAATTTCGTTAGCCTTCAGAGTTATTCTTTCTTAAACGACATTAGATTTTTCAGGAACTATTTAGATAGTTAGAGGAAATCAAAGAAATTCATGGGTGCTATGTAAAAATTCCGGAAAATTATGTTGAACTGGGAATCTTATACAAGTTTGATAAACTTCGTTGAACTTTTGTTTATTCTAAAAAACTCAACAAAGTTCAGACACTCTTTAAAACTTAAAATAACTTCTTAAGACTTAAAATAGACCAGGGAATTCCGCAGAAATTCAGGAAACTTTGTATAACTTCAGGTAACTTCGCAGAAAATCAATGGAATTCAATAAACATTCAGGGAATTTGGTAGTAGGGCAGCAAACTTCATAGGTATTCCGAGAACTTTGAAGAAGTCAAGCGAATTACGTAGCAATTCGAGGAACTTCGTAAAATTTCATTTAAGTGCACCGACGGTGGGTTGATGGAGACGCATTATAATTCATAATTCCTCTCATGCTTGTGAGACGACTCCCTCTACGAAGACGTTCTTAATCCTAGCATAATCGCTATGGAAGGACATTTCTTTCCTGTAAATAGCTCCCCCCATTTCAGCTGCGATCGTTTTTACTTACAATCGTTTTTTTACTCTTCTTTGGTGATAGGTACCGAAACTCGAACAACATTCAAATACACTCACTTCTGCAGCATCGGTTCCTTCAGTGCTTCTTCTTCTTCTTCTTCTTCTTTGTGTTGCACCTTCCTGTCGTCACCGATCGAAGTTTTCGTAACAAACATCAAAAACCACAGTAAGGTCCACGAGGGCACAAACACCAGCGCCACCAGGTCGAACAACCAGTTCCCGTAGATCTGAATTGAAAGGAGAAAACTATTTACGTTGGAGTAGAGCAAATGCGCCAATGAACGTACCATCGAATCGACCACGGAATAGGTGATGCCATCCATCGTACCGGTGATGGCTTTCTTCATTTGATCCCTGACCGCCAGCTCCGGGAAAAGGTTGCATGTAACGCCAAACAGGACTAGATATACCACCCCCAGCGGATGAATGACTAAGCAGAGCATACGGGAAAATCTGAAACAAGATACTCAACCTTAGTTGACTTTCCACCAATCCAACAATCACGCAGCAAATTACCCCCTGGCGAATCCCCTCTTCAGTGGTTTCAATATCAGGACAACGGGTACAATCCCAACGGAGAGCAGCCATCCTAGGGAGAAATTGAGCATTCCGACTGTCAGCAGAGCGGTTCCCAGTTCCAGCAAAACAGCGATCTGCAGGATTTCCGCATTCAGCGCATCCAGTGTGATGAAACCCGGCAATATCAGCACCATAACCGATATGCAAGCCATGATGGCAAACAGACCGAACTGAGTCGAAAGATTCGCTTCGTGAAGGTAGTTGTTCAGCAGAGGGTTGAAGGGCAAAACCGTTGTTAGGGCTCCGATCCCGTGCGCTAGCAACAGGACAATTCCAACCGCAATGTAGGAATGTTTAGGCGTTTCGTTCGAATCATTATCGCCATCATCTCCCCTCTCCTGCTCCTGCTCGTCATCTTCCGAATAGTACAAGCCTAAGTAGTGAATAAACGACTTGATAAGCAAAGTCCCTGCCATCAGAGCCAAACTGGGCATATAGTCCCCAATGGACACGAACCGATCGTGCGTCACCAGCAAATAAAAGAAGTAACTCTGATGGAACCGTTCCAACAGATTGTTCAAACTTCGACTGATTCCTTCGATAATCTTCAGCAGTGCTCCCACGCCGACAGTGTTCCTTGAATTACCAGCTCGTTTCACACATTCCAGCGTCAAAGCTTCGATCCCGTAGCGATGGAACAGGCCATGATTACCATTTGGAACTCCCGAAGATTGACTCAGAACCATCGCCAGCAGATTCTGCAGCTTCTCGTGGTATGTAACCGGTTTCCTCTGATTCGTAGCCGACAGCCTATAGGCCGCAGGAATTCCATTTTTCTGCGAAAGCTTCTGTGCCAAATTGTGCAGATCCAAATTCGGTAGTTGACCATTCAATCCCTCCACCTTCAAGTTTATATGATCCACATCGAAGCTTTGCACTTCCAAATTGATCGCCGCCTGAATCGCTCCAGCTCTCCCATTCAAAGATCCCGCATTCAGCACCCGACTGTCCTCGGATCCATGATAAGCTTCCAACCAAGCTTGCATCCCGAGCTGTTCCTGTTCGGTTATCAGAAATATAATGTCCTTGGCCCAATACTTCTGCTTCCTAGCAAAATCAGCAAACGCCAAAATCAATGGCACTCCTGCCGACACGTCCATGTGCACCGACTCCGGGGGCCTGTATGGCACCGAAATGACAAACGCTTCCGTAGATCCAATTCTCGGTGCTCGCAAAATTCCATACACATTCTTCCCGGTGAAGGTCTTTCCCCCACCAAGCGGATAATTCAGTGTAAAATTGTGCGTATGAGTTTCCAGTCCAATCTTACGCATTTTGGCCAACAACCATGCGTACGGCATCCCGGTTCGATGATTCTCCCGCTCCCGATCCAACTCACCGGCATAGTTTTTCGCTAGACTTACGGTTTCCGTTTTCAGCTCCGAGTACACCAAGCCGGGAAGCAGCGCATTTTCGGAAAAGTACGTTCCGGAATTGAAGTTCGGATCCGGCAGCAGACCGAAATAGCCAACACCCAGCAGGTAGAACGAGAAGCAAATCAGCGTGTTGTGCCGGATCAGCGCTTTGCAGTATTTGGCTTTCTGCGAAATGGATGGGTTCGTGAGGAGGCCCATGTCGAACGGAACTCCGGGACTAGATTTTCACTTAAAAATCGATGGAAACATGAATATTTTCCGAATCACTGGAGCAAAATTCTCGAGTTTGTTTACAAATATGCGGAGAAACGTCAAACGAGGGGCGGTATGATTGTGAATTATTTTATTGAGCTCAATTTGGCTGCATGCTGATTACAGAACGGACATGGTTAATCCGAAAATGAAACAGTTTCAAAAGCCGCGCGTCCACAAACAACATTTCAGGCATCAGGCAAACAACATTTGATAACGGCACAAAAGCATTTGTAAACAAACTTTCTAAAGCCCTTTACACGCGAACCAAAGTACGCCCACGCAAACCAATACCACTTTCGGAACGGTGATAGTTGCCCCTAACCGATGATGTAGTTGGTTTGCGTGGGCGTACTTTGGTTCGCGTGTAAAGGGCCTTAGAAAGTTTGTTTACAAATGCTTTTGTGCCGTTATCAAATGTTATGCCTGATTTTACGAGACGTTACCTTTATAAAACATACCATGCCCGAACGATAAACCAAATGGTAGAACTATTTTACAAATGGTTTGGATGATACCCTGAACACGTCATTAAGGAAAATAACCATACACTAATAAAATTTCAAATATTGTTTTTATGTGTCCCACACATGAACTTTTACAATGTGATCAACAAAATGGTCTGATAGAAGGTCCCGAAAAACTCAACTTTTTGGTTCAGCTCTGGTACCATAGAGGTTACTCTAACACCAGAAGGTCTCGAAGAAACGAGCTCAACTTTTTGGCTCAGCTCTGGTACTCTCTTCGGTCCCAAGCTATTCGATGCACCCCTCGAAACATAGAAAAATTAGAAATACTCAGAGGGAGGGATGGGCGGAGCGAATGTTTTGAGCCAAAGGGCAAATGTCGCAAGCGTAAACAAACTGAGGTTAATACATCACGTTATTCTACTATTAAAATGCTACAAAACGATACTAAAAAAATTTGTACGAATAAATGAAAATTCTTTAAAAAACGCAAAAAACATAAGGGCGAAACCAACTTTTTTTTATTACAAATTGAGTTGGCTCTTACGACCGCTGGGGGAGGATACATAATAGGGCGAAACATACATATTTTCTCAATACAAGGCGAAAGATATAATATTTTGAATCTTTTCACTACTCCTTGCAATTAACGGTTGGTAATCAAAATAAAACATTGTTAATCTGATCGAAAGAAGCGAAAACACCCCAACACATGAATTTATCTAGAATTTAACAAACTGCAAAAGGTCGATAGTAACAAACCATCAGGAAAAAGAACGTAAACATTGAGGCGAAATAGACAATGTCAAAAACTAGCAGGCGAAACATAGGGGCGAAATCTGGGGGGGGGCGTGCTGTCAAATCAGCCTACTGATCATCTTGTATGAAACTGGTTCAAACGTAAACAAACGCTGTAGGTTTCTTATGGCTTGTTTACGTTTGGAACCAGTTATGCGAGGTAGGCGACGATTGTTCGTATTTGACAGCCACCTCCCCCCCTTGGGCGAAATAGCTTCTGTGAACGCAGCCGGGCGAATAACCTCAGGGCGATACAAGATACTATAAATCAAAAGGGCGCATGCAACATTTTCATTTTTTTTCAAGCTGTAAATAAAAATAATAATATTTTTATTTATCTCACCATAATGCTAACCAATAATGTAATAATTAGGAACAGTTCATTTCTAGGAATGGGCTTATAGTTTAAATTATATTTAATTATTTTTGTTCAAAACTTCAGATTCATTTTTCTCAGTTCAGTTGCGACATTGGCCCTAATTCCAGCTCTATCTAGAACTGTCAAAATCTGAGCCAATCGAACATTCAGAATTTGTCAGAGGATTTCTTATTCTTACTAGAATCAATTTGAGAGTATTTCAATCGAACAGAAATTCAATCACCTTTATGTTTTTTGTGCTTCACAAATTCAACTAGTTTTTGAAATCAGAAACAATATTCTAACTCTATTGATTAATTGATCTTCGTTGGTTAATGAATGGCACCAAGAAATGTGCAAAATATTGCGATGCAATCAATTATTATTTTGCACGTAAATCGAATCAAAAATACAAGTCATTTGAAATGCTAGCTTCTAGCAAGGGTTGCAAGATAATTTAGCAACAAATCCCTGCTGCCGAATTGTATTTTGTTTTCTCCGCCTATCTCTCCCTCTGAGTTTTTCTTAGAAAAATCAACGAACTCCTCATTTTATCAGTCAAACTTTCATAGCGAATCAAAACAAACATAGTGTAGTACTAGAATGTCATTTAGAATAGACAACAATCAATACGAAACTAACGATTTTAAATTGGCTCACTACTTGTCTACCCTATTGGTCCCAAGCAAACAATTAACGTACCCCATTCTAGTCGAAATTCTACTACTGCACAATGTTTGTTTTGATTCACTATGAAAATTTGACAGATAAAATGAGGGATTAGTGGATTTTCTTATGTTTCGAGGGGTGAATCGATGAACTTGGGACCGAAGAGAGTACCAGAGCTGAGCCAAAAAGTTGAGCACGTTATTTCAGGACCTTCTAGTCTTAGAGTTACCTCTATGGAATAGACCTCTTTGACGTTTAATCGTTTTTCTCTATCTAGCACACATGAATGAATGGACAGTTTGTTTTCCCACTAATCTGTTTCCCTCTTGCTCGCACTCGTTTGATTTAAATGGTGCAATAGTGTGCGCCGATTAAACGTCAAAAAGCTCTATGGAGTAAGTTAATCAATTTACTTGGGACCGATAAGCTAGTCTAGAGTGAGCTAATTTAAAATCGCTAGTTTCCGCCGGTTAATAAAACGGTTTGCTGGATCAAGATCAGCAACAAAAATGCTGTACTGAAAAACCGCAAAGGACTTGGTAAAGGATATTTTTACCGAAAAAATCAGCTAACATAACGGTTTGCTGTACACCCAGTAAAGAGCTGTCAAACTGTTAGCGTCACAGTCGCAAGTATTCCCATTCGTACACACGACTCGACCAGGAGGAGAAGGTAAGTAAAACTACAAATATATAAAATTATTTTGGTAAGAGCACTGGTTATATTAAATTTTAATAGATTATGCACGAACCCTGGCGATTTTGTCTTTATTATTTGTGTATTTGTATCAAAAATCTTTAACAGAAGCTGCCAGCGAGGCTGCCAGCCCAAAGTGAAAATAAATTCGATTTACTAAATTTATTCAGCAAAATGCTGTCAGAATTTTTTATTACTGAAAAATCAGTGAAAATTTTTGCTGAAATGATTGCTGATTATCAGTAAAATGTTTTCATTTCGACAGAAGTTGTAATTGCCTATAGCAGGGCTGATAGCGGGTCACTTTTTAGTGACTTTGTCACTTTTTTGAAGGTGGTCACTAAAAAGTCCCTATTTTCGACAAAAAGTCACTAAAGTCACTTTTTGCGCCATTCCCGCTTGAATTGCAATGTAAAATTCGTTAAAAAAAAATTAAAATTGTAACAGTGCTACACTGCTTAGTTCTTAGTTGGAAGTACGCAGAAGAAACCTGGACGATACATAATCAAAGCACACTTTTATTTGCGATTTCACACCTTTGAGGAATCCAGATTCAACTGCAAAATTAAATAATCAGGGTGACCGGGACTAGATTTTCAGGATACAGTTACTTTGAAGAACTATTAAAAGAACTTTTTCCAAGTAGGCCTGTGAACAATTTCTTGGGTACAAATTGGACTAGGAACTACTTGGAAAGCAGCTCCAGATAATTTTAAGGAGAAATCCATGTGAATTTTCAGTAGAACTTAGAGGAGAACTCCAAGACAATTCAGATTAAAAATTTATGAGAACTCAGAGGTGAACAGTATGGGAATTTCTAAGGGGGTGAATTTTTTAAAAAAGTTTATAATTCAAAGAGAATCTAAGGACGAATTTGATGATTGTTTTAGTGTTCTGCAGAGAATTTCTGCACTGTTATAAAAAAATTCAAGGCACTCCCAGAGATAAACTCGAATTTATTTTAGATGAACTCTATAAAAATAAATTCTTTTAAAGAAATACTTCAACTTAAATATAATCCTGTTAAGCTCTGTAAAGCTCTGGAACTTCAAATACGGCAAGTTGGAATTTAAATAACTGAACAGTCTCAAATACTCATGTTAAATATTTATTTCGTTACAATATATAAGAACCTTATGGTAACTAAAATCAAACACTTCATCAATAAGTAGCTTTTGGTTTTATATATAATTAATCTACTGATTGGTTTAAGCTTGGGTTTAAGTTAAATTTGAATCCATGTCTCTAAAATTTCACCTTTCACCAAGTTCATGTACCTGTTGAGTTTAAATTTTTATTCTTGTCAATGTGTATAAAATTTAACCCTTGGATCATTTTCAATGTCCTAGAACTCTAGTTTTGTAGGCAATTCCAAAGCAACATTGAATAGGATTCAATACAAATTTTAATGAAAATTCATAACAGCTTTTGACTCTTATTCTTAAGGAATTATGAGAAAATTTGAACGAGAAGGAGGATTACACCATGATCATTCTGAGGAGAACTTCAAAATAATACAAAAGAGGACATTCTGAGGATAATTTAAAGAAGATTCTGAGACAAAAGAATCCGAAGCATATTTCTATGTGAGTTTTTGGAGAAATCATAGGATTACAATTGAATATGAGTATAATTTCTATAGAACCTCAAATGAATTCGGTTAAAAATTTCAAGAGGGTTCTGACAAATTTTGTGGAGAAATTTAAGCAAAACTGAAAGTAATTGTACAGGTGAGAATTGCATAGTTCCTAGTAACAATTATTAATAATGTAATGAGCTTTGCAGAGTGAATTAAAATAGTTTTCTAAAGATGTTGTAATATTTTTTAAACTCATTTTTTTTTTCTTTACACTAGTCAATAATACCTATCAAATTTCTGGCTCCATTTAAAATGTTTCCATTATACATTTGGATTGTATTTTTGAAAAATGGGTGAAATTAGGATCATAGGTTAATGAAACTATGGTACTTTATGGTAGAAACATTCGGAAAAACCTGTCCCAAGACGACCTAATGACACATTCAGCCTTT